ATTAACTTTATTTTGGGGGAGAGAAATGAAAGTTTATATAAATTCATTTATATAAATTCATTCATTTATATAAATTCATTTTAAGAGGTCCGCAGTATTGCAAAGTTGTGATTGAGAGGTTATGTTGGGGGAGGGGGGCGATGACAACTTCCTCATTGGCTCAAGGGGGCAATTCGTTCAAAAAGGTTAAGAACCACTGATTTAAATCACTAGTAGAAAGGCTTGATTTTTAAAGAGCAACTGTCATCTCTGTCCCACAGCGGCTCCTCTGACCTGCTGTTGACTCACTGACAGTCCCATTCACTTTAATGGGACGACTGGAGATGCGGCAGTGGCACAGCAAGGTGAGGGACATGGCAGGCAGCAGATGAGTGCATGCCCGCTAACAGGCGCTGCCATGATGGATCTGAAATGACAGGTGCTCTTTAAATGTAAGGACTCATTCTTGCTGGTAGTTAGAATCTTTGTGTCCTGTTTAGAATAATAAGCTGTCAGTAAGTAAAACAGTGATACCAGAACCGATTTTAGGTTAATAAGTTAATCACACATAGTTGGAGAACTACTCAAATTCTTTTATTTAATTAAAACACTTAGAGCCTGGTAAAGATGCATTTCTCTTCAAACAATCATATAGTTTGTAGTGTACATAGATTTGCAAAACAATGGGATAAAGGAATATTCCTGAACTTTGTTTTATGATTTATTTCATGGTTACTGTGAAATTGTGTGAATGTATCAATGTTATCTCAGCTTGCAGATCTTGGATACTAAAAATGTAAATATTGCAGAATATACAGCCTCATGCTACATAACTAAGCTCCATTTCATGCTGAATAAACTAACTTATTAATGTATCTTAAATAAAAAAACTATCTTTAGATAGATTTTTACTCCAAAAGCATTTTATTAAAATAAATTTGATAAAAATAAAAAAACTGATTTAAATAAAAAAAATCCGATTTAAATAAAAAATCCAATTTAACAGTTGTATCCAAATATGACTTTGAGTGCTCAAAAATAGGAGGTCACAGGAATATATACAGTGCAGGGGGCTTCTGTTTACCATCTCTGCAGTAACTTCATAATTTCTCTTTATTTCTGATGGCAGAATGCTTATATGATCAGAACTACCTGAACCACCCATCTTTGCAACAGACCTAGCTGGAAAGTACCTCTCAAAATGTGTGTTCTCTGAGCTAAATTTTCCAGGTTATGCCACTGACTTTAAGAAGCAGCAAAGCACAATAGCTTCCAGGGTGTCAGTAGGGTTGCCATGAACGGAAAACAAGATCTCCAAAAAAGACATTTTAAAAAACTACAAGTGAAGTTGAGTATTGCTTATGGTTATGAAATACAGCATATTTAAAAATTGTGGGGAAACCATTTAGGATAGGGTAATAGAGTGGGGAAATTGGCTGCATTTCTGGAGAAATCAGTGAGAATTTGCTATAAAGCAGCATTTGGTTACAGATCCCATTTCTCCCATTTTGTTTCTTCCACAATAAAATGTTTCTCATCTACACTCAACTCCTTTCCCAAAGGGCCTAGGCTAGGCTATTATGCTGATGCAGGCTGATGTTACAGAAAGTGAGTTTTATCTAGTATTTAGTAGCCCTCATAATGTCTTTGCTTTCCTTTCTTTTTGTATTTAAATACATCTGATTGGGCATTTCTGTGTATTTAATATTTCCTTCAGGGTCATCTGATCAGTAATGACTGGGAACATGGCCACCACCAGGAATGCTTCACAGCTCTTTTTGGTATTTTTTTTGTTGCTTTTTTGCCTGCCTGTAGTGGAAGCTTTAGATATGAGTGATGCATTAGCTTTGTTGCTAGGTGTGGCTCTTAGTTGTGTTGGATTCTGTGCCTGCCTCGGTCTATATGCAAGAAGACGACATGGAGAGCAATGACTTTAAGTCCAAAATGTCCAGATGAAGTGCAACTGTCCTGATGGATGTTTTTGCAATTAAGGAAGTTTCAAGATGTTCTGCAACTCATTAAATTTTTATTTCCATGAACTGCTTAAGAAGAAAGACCATTCATAATGGGAAGACTGTGGAGAAAGCTGCCTCAAATTCATAAGAACATTTTATATGTAATTAAGATGTTGCCTTAAAAGAGAATGCAACTGGTTTTCAATTGCATAAGGAAAAGCACTAATAAAAGTGAGGTGCAACAGGAAATATAAGGGGTAAAAGAGAAGATATAGTTTTCATTCAAATGATATACAGAAAATATACGACATAGGAAACTTAATTAAATTAGATATGATTTTTTTTCTTCTAATGAAACATTTCTCTATTTAATCTTTTTCCAAATTAAACCAAAGTATTTTGTAGTAAGGTCAAGTTGCTGTGTACCATCCAATGTTTTGTTGTTTTCATCTGATTACAATTTATGTTACAGTTAAAGCTGAAAGTTAGGCCACTGTCTCCTTAAAGCATTGCAGATATTCAAATATAGCAGTATGTAATCCAGTGCCATCAAATGTTTAGTTTATAACTCCCATAATCGCTGACCATCAGTCAATTGATTTATGAGAATTGTAATCTAAAATATGGTAGCAGAGTCATGGGTTGGTGGGAAGGAGAGATGCCAGATTTTCCTACTTGTAGAAATGGACACAGCCATTCTTGCCCATGCAGGCATGAATACATAGGAACCTTGACTTTTTTTTTCTAGTGTGCTTTCTATTCATTTTAGTAGAACTTGCAGAAATGTTCCTCATAGATTAACTTTTATGATTTCTCAGTTGTACTACAGAAGAATTGCTGGGAACAATATTTAAATGACCAAACCTTTTCTATACAGTATATATCTCCTCACTTGTATTGTTTGCACACTTTTTAATAAATTGTGAAACTTTCACTATTTCAAAATAATGAATGAGATAAAGGATTAATGAGAATTGAACAGTAATTTATTCTTGGTCTTCCAGTGTAACTAAATAAACTCTAAAAGGAGGTTAACTTAATAACCTCCATGCTCTTTAACACGCCCTTTGCTGCTGTGGTTTAATTCACCCATGATTAAAGATTAGATATTGAAAATGTGCCTAAATTTAACAAAAACTTTGTTGAAGCTCATGTTAAAACAATTTTATTATAATTCAGGTTTGGTAGTAAGAATAATGTAGAAATTTTCTTAACATGCATGTACAGACCCATTATAAGAGTGTTACCACAAATGGTTTAAAAATATTGTAATATTTGGCATAAATATTAAATATGATATTCAAAAGAGATAGCAGAAATATACTATTCTAATGTACTTTAAAGGCATTTTCCCTATAACCCATGCACAATCTATATGTTCATCCTGTATTGGACCCTGCTGCAGATATTTACCTTCTTAAATTATAAAATATTTTAAAATTTTCTAAAAATGTTTAGGTAAAAAGCTGCAAGTAATATCTCACAAGGGATTGAATTCCAACATGTGAATCTTAAAATTAGAAGGGGTTGGGATACTTCAGTGTGAAGTATTGATGTCCAGCCAACTTAAAGTAGATCCAAAGGTACATTTAGGACATCAAGATTGTAGGCAGCTGAATACCAAAGCCTAATTTTAAAGTATTTTTAGCCATCAGAAAGAAACCAAGAGAAGAAAAGGTAGAGCCCATTGCCATTGATTGGTAAGGTGGTGATGCATGTGGATGGTAGTGAAATAAGAGGAGTGCCATGGAGAAACCACATATTGGGAAGAAGTAGAGAATGCAGAGCTTGGGGCAATCCAGTAGGATGAGTAGAAGATTGGAGAATACGGTTGGAAACTAAAAAAAAACAATGGGATAGTTGGAATTCTACAGATGAAACTTGGGAAAGCATAATATGTGATTGTACTTGAAGGGGAGGAGAAAATTAGAAGAGGGTGATTCTAAAGAAAATTGTAACTGTAATTACAGTTTTGGCTCTTAAAAAAATTCCTAGAAGTTAAAGACAGGAATACTGAATCAGTTGACTGGGTTTGAAGGAGAACATTTGCATGTTGAAGCTAAGCTTTACTGTACAAGATTATTAAAAAGATTTCAACAAGTCATCTGTGGTACTTTGAAATTCCAAATATGCCCACAAGTTTGCAACTTCTAATTTTATAATATTGTTAGCCAGACTATGAGTATCTGGATTCTGATAGGAATATGGAAATTATCAAAAGGAAATTGCTGGAAATACTTTCATATAACTGATTTCAAGTTGAAAAACATTTTTCCTTTTCAGCAACTCTTCCTTGCCAAAAATACTTGACAAATGTTACTCCCTTTGAAACAAATGGTAAACAGATTTTGACGTTTTCTAATATTTGGCAATATTATACATGGAATCACTTGGAGTAAAATTCATTTGGAATATTGTGTGGCAATATATAGATTAAATTTAAAGTTACCCCATCAAATCAAATCCACCCTCTTCACCCTGTCTTACTGCATATATTATATTAGTAGTTCTGCAGTATGTGCTTTATTGTAGTAATAAATATACAACATTGGTCATTGAAAGATATTCAGTATTTTGAGATTTAGAGCTGTATCTACAAGAGGCTCAAACTCTGATGCACTTCCAATATGAGGGAATATTAGTTATGCCAGATGCCAAAAATAAATTATTAACATTACGGTTATCTTCTCATTTTGGACATGTTTTTTTTAATTTGTGGCTGATGTTTAAAATACAAGGAAATAAATTTTTTGAAATATGTCTGAGACAACCATTATTTCTGATCTAATTCTTTTCTTTCCCCTTTCCTTTTGCTTTCTCATGTAAAAACTCTGAGATATTTCTACCCTTCTATTGTCACATAGATCCTGGGATCCTGAAAGAAATACTTTATAAATGAATCCATGATAGTTTAAACTAGCATACTGAAAGCTGAAAATGGGTCTTTCATGTCTAAGACTCTGTTATATGAAAAACTTGTAAATGAATTTGAAGTTACTTTTTTTCATCTCCTGCTGATGAAATCAAGTTGCTTTCACTTTTTCATTTGAAACATAGGAAGGCTTCAGAGCATGGTATTGATGCATTGGCTCAAAAACCAAGGACATGTATTACTGTTTAGTACCACTTGAATAACTCAGCAAGTGACCACTTCTAACTGACCTAGTCTTGTTTGCGAACTTAAGAGGATTTAGTTTTGTTAGTGTTTAATGAATTTTAATGTGGAGAAAAGCAAAGTTTTACAATTAGGCAAGAAAAACCAAAAGTATAAATACAGATTAGGTGAGACCTTGCTCAAAAACAGTAACTGTGAGAGGGACCTTGGAGTCCTTGTGAACAATCAATTGACTATGAGCCAGCAATGTGCAGCAGCAGCTAAAAAAGTTAATACAATTCTGGGTTGAATAAACAGAGGCATAGAATCAAGATCACACAAAGTATTTGTACCACTTTATAAAACCTCACTGAAAGTTTTTAAGAAGAGACTCGACAGTCACTTATCTGAAATGATATAGGTTCTCCTACTTGAGCAGGGGGCTGGACTAGAAGACCTCCAAGGTCCCTTCCAGCTCTATTCTATTTCAAGGGAAAACCTTGAAATCTTTAGATTTAGATTAAATTGGGAAGTTAGAAAACATCCTGGAAGAATATTGTATCAAATATTTTCTTACTGTGGTCAGGAAAAAATACACAGATATGTCCACTCAGTGACCAGGTTCAGCTTATTTTTATATGTTCTGAATTCAGGAAGGAAACTTCAAAAAACAATCAGGCTGGAAAGTTGGAACCAAAATGCAGACAAGAGGAAGATAACTTTCTTCATACCTTCCTGAATTCCCAAGAGCAAAGTTATTAACAACCACAATGGGAGCAATTTCAGCATTATTAATCTTTGACTTACGATGAAGTTACAACAGACCCCCCCCCCAAAAGATACTTATGACAAGCTGCCCCCACGGTCATGTGGTTGCATTTGGGGCACTCAGCAACTGGCCTGCATTTATGTCTGTTTGCAGCATCCCAAGGTAATATGACTGCAATTTGTTTTTGGCAAAAATGCCTCATAACAAACAATGGGTTTACTTAATGACTGCCGATTCACATAACATCATGGTAATGCACTTCACCACCACCACAAAAATGTTAAAATCAAGCTGGTCACACAATTGTTTAATGACTGCCATGACTCAATGACCATAATTGGCAGGCTCCATTACAGTCATAAGTTGAGGACTACCTGTAAATAATTTGGGGACAGATGACTACATTCCATCTTCTCCAGCACAACCAAGACAAATATAGAACCTTGTCTCCTTTGAAAGTTATTGAGAGATCAGATTTCCAATATTTGTCTCTTGCTGTGAATGTTTCCCAGGAAAACTGCATGGGACAATGTTTGAGTTAGTAATTATCAGCCTCAAGCCCAAAGACAGATCCAAACAAGTCCAAACATTTATTTTGCTTACATCTAATAGAATCTTGCCAAACTCAAGCTATACCTTATTAAGCTACTAGATATATCCTGAGATATTCTAGAGCAGTGCTTTTCAACCTTTTCACAGATTGTATCACTTTTAGGATATGGCAATATTCAAGTACCACCAGTCGCCTAGCAAGGTGTCAAAAACTTGACCAAAAAAAGGAAAAAAGTGATAAAGTACAAGTAGTCCTAGACTTACAGCAGTTCGCTTAGTGACTGAAGTTACGGCACTGAAAAAAGTGATTTATGACCATTTTTCACAGTTATGACTGTTGCAGCATGGCCCCAGGGTCACATGATTTACATTCGGATGCTTGGCAACCGATTCATATTTATGATGGATGCAGTGTCCCAGGGTGATCCCCTTTTGCAACCTTCTGACAAGCAAAGTCAATGGGGAAACCAGATTCACAACCATGTTACTAATTTAACAACTGCAATGATTCCCTTAACAAATGTGGTAAGAAAAGTCATAAAATGGGACAAAACCAATTTAACAAATTTCTCACCTAGCAACATACATTTTTGGGCTCAATTGTGGTTGTAGGTATCTGTACACCCACTTACCACACTTTTAATAGGAAACTTGTGCCCTTTTCTCTGATATTAATCTTTGCACTGTTTTATCCCCTTCTCTCCCTCTGCTTGTCTCAAAGAACCTCTCCTCCATCTCTCTTTCTCTGTCCCCTTCTCTTTCCCCATTGTCTTTTTTTCTCTTCCTTTCCCATCAAAACCTCCTTTTATATTCTCTCCTCTCTCCCCCTCTAGCTGACTTCTCTCCCCCAGGCTGTGCGCTGCTCCCAGAAGCACAAATCAGCTGGAGCCACGTGCCGATCCTGGATGCTCAGCAGAACCCTGGCAACACTGCAGCTCCAGCTGACTCTCCCACAGGCCTGTGTGGTGCTGCTGCCGCTTCAACTCATCCCGTCCTACACTTTTACTTTTTTTTACAGTGCTTTTCAACCCATTGTACCAGATGCCAAAGTATCACTAGTGGTTTGTGTACCATGGGTTGAAAACCACTGCTCTAGAGCAGACATGTCAAACACAAGGTCTGCGGGCTAGATCCAGCCCGTGAAGGGCCCAGATTTGGCCCCCGCGGCTGTCCCAGAAATGGAAAGGGACCGGCTCCTGCTGCCCCAGCCCTGCCCCACACCAACCTAGTTGGGCACCCCCCTAGCACACACATAGGATACAGCAAGCACTTGAGGCTGGTGATGCGCAGCAGCAGCTCATTTGCCTCACCCCGCCCCTCCCGGCCTCATCCCATCATGCCTGGCCATGCCCTGCTTTGCCGGGCCACACCTCACCATGCACAGCCACACTTTGCTGGGCCTCTCCTCTCCTCGCTCAGGCCCTGGAGTTCTGTAAGCCTAGTGCCCCAGGGCATGCACGGCCTGTGGGACAAAAGGCGGGGAGATGGGAGTGCGCGATAGCACAAGCCGAGCATCGGCCGGCTCCAGGTCACCCTCTCTGCCACGTGGTAGGGCCAGAGAGGGGGAAGCAGCACTCACACCAGATGCAGAACCACAGCCTGGAACTGCTGGTGGCCGGCAACGTATGAGCCTTCGTGGCGGCTGGAGAGAAAGGGTGAGAAGGAGGAGAAAGCAGGAAGGGTGTGTGTGTGTGTGTGTGTGTGTGTGTGTGTGTGTGTGTTAGACAGAGCCAAGAGGGAAAGGGGGGAGGAGGAGGAAGCCGAGGTGTTACAAAAAAGGGGAGCTTCCCCCTTTCTCCCCCCCTTTTTTTAACCTCCTCCCACTCCATTCAAGTGCAACTGGAGGAAAAGAGCGAGAAGAGGGAGAAAGGAGGGAGAGGTTTTTTTATGTGTGTGTGTGATATATGGGGTAACACCCCCCAGGAACCGAGACATAGAACAGTACAACGACATCGCCCTCCTCCCCTACATCAAAGGCACCACAGATAAAATCAGCAAAATTCTCCACAAACACAATATCAAGACAGCCTTCGGCACCGACCAAAAAATAGCCAACATCTTAAGAAACCCCAAAGACATGATCCAGCTAGAAAACCAAGGAGTCTATGAAATACCATGCAAAATCTGCCCAGTCACATACATTGGACAAACTAATAGGAGAATAAATGCACGCATCGCAGAACACAAGAACGCAGTCAGAAAAGAAGAAAAAACTTCCTCCCTCTTCCAGCACCTTAAAGCTACAGGACATGAAATTGATTTTGAAGGAACCAAACTAATCTCCAAAACTGAACACCACAACAAGAGAATAATTATGGAAGCCATCGAAATAGAAAAACACCCCCACAACATGAATAAACGTGACGATA